TTATCCTTCTCTTAATATAATTTTTACACAAACACTAACTATAGGGATATTTTGACTTTTAGTATTTTCAAAAAAGTCAAAATATGAGGCATATTTATGAAGCACCCCGAGGAGCCTTCACATATATAATAGTATATATATTCATCATAAGGAGAGTTGTTTAAATGTCGTCCCAAAAAGTCAAAAGCAAGACTTTTAGCTATAAAATTTTAAAAATGTCACTAATAAATAAAATTTTAGAGACAAAATAATTTAGTCTCAAAATAATTTATTTTTTAGACAAAAAATTTGATCCCAAAATGATAATAACTCATCATTAATGTCCAATTTTTGTTGTTAAAAATATAATAACGATATTTTTTGTAACAAAATTATTTAATTTCTAAAAAATAATTTTGTTCTTAAATTTTGATTTCTAAAACTTTAATTTTTTGTAGTGGTTTCTTAGAAATTTTTGTGGTTAAACTAAAAACTGTATAGAAAATACAGAAGCAACAAAGCAGCTGTGGGCCGGCTCTGGCAGAAGCAACAAAGCAGTCGCTTTGGGCCTCCAGAAAATAGTCCAATATTAGGGCGGTTAATATAGTATATAAATAATATATATTGCATATATGATCATGTGATGATGTACTGGCGTAGTGGAGGGAGTGTTGTGCAAAGGGTTTCGTGTGTGCAAGGGGACGTCGCAAGTTCGAAACCTTCGCGACCATTTATTGGCGACAACATGGGCGACTAAACTTTTTAGTTGAGAAAAGTGAAATTTTGACATTTGGTGACTAAAATAGGACCTTTGGCGACTAAAAATTTAGTCGCCAAAGGTATTTTTTCTTATAGTGATTTATGAAGCACCCCGAGGAGCCTTCACATATATATAATAGTATATATATCCATCACAAGTGACTCTTTGAGCTTTATTATCATTCAAAACTTTTTCTTCTCATCCATACTTTTATCTCTCCATATAATCCATACCACTCTTGTGAAATTCCTTGATAGCAATGAATCAAAAAAAAAAAAAAAATTCCTTGATAGCAACTAGCAATGGTATCATTGATCATCAATGATGGACGAAGTCGGTAGGTCGGTTTACTACAACATATAAGAATTTTATAAATTAAATATTTTGATTTTTAAAAGTGAAAATTTTATTACAAAAGATATTTAGAGATTAATTTTCATCATCATAAGGAGAGTTGTTAAAATGTCGTCCCAAAAAGTCAAAAGCAAGGCTTTTAGTGACAAAATTTTGAAAATGTCACTAATAAATAAACTTTTAGAGACAAAATAATTTAGTCTCAAAATAGTTTATTTTTTAGACAAAAAAATTTGATCCTAAAAGGATAATAACTCATCATTAATGTCCAATTTTTGTTGTTAAAAATATAATAACGATATTTTTTGTAACAAAATTATTTAATTTCTAAAAAATAATTTTGTTCTTAAATTTTGATTTCTAAAACTTTAATTTTTTGTAGTGGTTTCTTAGAAATTTTTGTGGTTAAACTAAAAACTGTATAGAAAATACAGAAGCAACAAAGCAGCTGTGGGCCGGCTCTGGCAGAAGCAACAAAGCAGTCGCTTTGGGCCTCCAGAAAATAGTCCAATATTAGGGCCCTAAATATTTGTACCACTTATACATAGTCCAAAATTAAAATATGATCAGAAAGATCCAAATTAAAGGCAAAAAGGCTCAACCAAGGGACATTTACACATAAGTTTTAATTTATGAATTTATATTCGGTTAAGTTTTAATTAAAAAAATTTTGAATCTTTAAGTTTCATTAATTTTTAATAGTCAAGATTACCCATCAAATAATGATTGGTCATCATTTATGATTATCTATAAATGAACATGATAATTTGACAATTATTTTGATTTTCAAAACTTTAAAATATCAACTTTAAAATTGAAAAAACTTTAAAAAAATTATGTACAAAAAAAAAAAACGAAGATATTTTTTTTGAAAAAATTGAAAAAACTGAATTATTTTTATGTAAAACTGAAAATTTTATGTTTATAAAAGATTATGATGATGGAATATTGATGTGCAAGACTTAAAAAAAAACAACTTTAAAAATGTTCTTTGTTTTAAAACTGAAAAAACTAATAATGTTCTTAGTTTCATTGGATAATTAAATCAAACTAATAAGTAAAAAGGTAACGTTTAATCTCACACTATATTTTTTTTATTATCAGTTAGTGAAACAATTATTTAGAGTACTACTATGTAAAATTGATAATATTCTTAATTTTAAAAATTAAAAAATACTGATAATATTATCAATTTTATTAAATAAAACTTATTACTTAAAAAAAATCTTAGATAGGATCTGAATCATCATAATATTTGTAAATAAAATTTTTAAGTAATTAACTCAGTATTAAAATATGATTAGAAAGGGCCAAACTAAAGGCAAAATGGCATAAACCAAAAGCTAAAGTCAAAATTTTTCTTCTTGTTCGCAACTGAAAGAAATAAGAGAGAGCCCACTATCAACAAATACATCCAACAACAACATTCCAAAATTCTTGGTTTTTGTGCTTTACCGTGATTAGATAAATCACTTTGCTGCATTTGAATAAATTAATTTTGGTATAATAGCAATTTGAAATTTGCTAAATAATAAAGCAACAAAATCAATTTTTTTTTTATTATTTTTTATTTTTTTCAGTCTTTGAAATGATTTTTTTTAATATTTTAGTAGTTATATTCAACAAATTTCTAAAATATTTAAATAATAAATTTTGTCCTTTATGCAAGATTTTATAATTATGAGGGAGTTTAGAAAGTATAATTTTTTTCTTAATCCTTCTAACAATGAAAGGAAGGTAAAGGGAGTTTATAGTCAAATTTCTCTAATAAAAGCATCAACTTTTAGAACTTTGCACATATTCTTTCCTTTTTTTTTTTTTTCCTCTTCAAAATTATTATTTTTTTTTTATACCTTGAGTTACGATGATTAGCTGGGTAGACTAAAAATAATATTGAGTGTAATAACAATATTATTATGTAGTGTCACTGATAAATAAAATATCATAAACAAGAGTAGATAAATATCATTTGTCTCTCACTAATCTAAGTTTCAATGCCGTAATATAAAATTTCTCATTGATTAGTATATTTATTAGTAGACTACACCTAACATATTTTTAACCATGTCCATTTTGCAGACGAATTTTTTTTTGATAGGTTAACATTGTTATTTTTTTTTTCTTTTTGAATAGTAAAAAAAAGAGACCTTTATTGATAATAAATAATATATATATATGACATTACATCAAAAAGGGGAAAGAAGTGCAAAAAGTACCTCAAAAAACAAACCACAAACAAACAGAATTAATCAGGAATTTCAGACAGCCTGTTATTTTGTTGGCCAAAACTACTATCTAATAAAATTAATCAGGAAATTGACTCAAAATTGTAAAGTGTGGTTGATATTCAATAAATGTTTTTTGGCAGAGATTTTTTTAGTAGGTTAGAAAGACCACATGTATATGGGTTCGATCAATGATATGTAGTACTTTATCCATTAATTTTTTATTATTAGGATTATATGTTCATTTAATTTCTTAGCTTCTATTTGGAAAGATGGGTTGGGTTGGGTTGGGTTGGGTTTGGGATTATTTTAGTCACAAAAAGACAAAATAAGTTTTTTAGTCCAATAAGATGAAATATCACATCCAACCCATAATTATTACATTCTTTCTTTCACAAAAATTCAAAAAAGTCAAAAAACCCTTCCCAAACAAGACTTTTTAGCCCCAGACTAAAATAGCTAAAAAGATAAAAAGCCAACCCACTTCCCAAACGAATCCTTACTATTGGTTGAGCACACAATTAACGTAAAATTCCTAAAAGGTAATATAATTACTCGTTGTTTGGAATGTAGTTTGTAATGATCTAAATAAGTGTATTTTTTAACATTTTACGAAAAGATGTGCAGAAAAGTAGAGAGGTGATGTAACCCAAAAAGATAAAAAGATAAAAAAAAGTTTGTACTTATTAAGCTACCTCAAATACGGCTGCAAACAAGCCAAATTGAGCCGAGTCAAATTTTAGTATGTTTGGACTTATTTATTAAGATTTTAACGAACTTGAACTTTAAGCTTGAGCTAAGTTGGCTTAGACTTGACTCAAGCTCGAGCCAGTTCATGAGCCTTAACAAGCCAAAAAATTTATAAATTCATACTTGTGTATGAGACTAAAGTTATAATTAAAACTTTAATTATACAATTATATATACAATAGATATAAGCATACTAAAAAAAAAGTCAATATTTTACTAAAATAATAATATTTACTGCCACTGTTATCTAAATGTACTATTTATAGTTAATTATTATTTACATTTATATTTTGTAAATATATAAATAACATATTTATCTTATTTTTTATACATATTTTTATATTATTTAATATATAAACAATAAATATTAAATGAGTCAGCTAACGAGCCGAACTTACGAGCCGAACTTTAGAATGTTTAGACTTGCTTATTAAAAATTCAATGAGCTCGAACTCGAGTTTGAATGCAAAAAAATTTAACGAACCAAATTCAAACGAACTCTTACAAAACCAAACTCGAATCTGTTCATAAACGACTTTATTAACATGCAGCCCTAACCCCAGACAACTCCATACATAAAATAGATGTAGAACCCACATTGATATTTCTCACTAAAATTCAGAGTAAAACGACTTTATTAATATGCAGCCCTAACCCCAGACAACTCCATACATAAAATAGATGTAGAACCACATTGATATTTCCCACTAAAATTCAGAGTAAAAATTATCAATCCTAACATTGCCATAGTTTGCTACTAGTGGGACTAAAAGTTCACTTGGCTACATTTGGCACTTTTTGACCTCAAGAGCATAGAAGTCCCATATCACTGCTAGCGAAATTAGCATTGCTAGCAGCCAATTTCAATTGCTAGTGCTGTCCTTTTCTATAAAAATAAGAGCAAATCTGTCAACACAACAAAAGGCCAAAAATACCATAAAACGACCAAAAAAAAAAACCATATAAATCCAATCTTCAATATTCATGAAAAAAAAAAAACAAGGACATGAAAAAGCATACAATGGATAATAATTGGATAATAACAAAACAGACACTCACTTTTTCCTTATGCCCATTTTACCCCTCAATATAGAAAATAGATTTAATTAACCAAAATTCCAACCCTAACCCTAATCAGAACTTGAGAGTGATTTCACTTTCATTGCTCTCTTCACCTTCCTCTCTCAATATTGCCAACCCTTTTCTCTCTCCTCCGCTACCATTTTCGCCACCGCTATCCCCTTTCCAGCTGTTGCTCTCAGACTTCCCGTCTTCAATGCTCTCAGACCGGTCCCCAGCTTCCCTGACATCAGAATCCGGGGAGCTCTGGTTCTGTGAGGAGGCCTTGTACATGTGGAGCTGGTGGTGGAGGGTGTGGTGGTGCAATTGTTGTGGTGGTGGAGCGGTATAGAACTCTTGGGGCAGTGGTTGAGGACAGTAGTGTGGAGAGGCATGGGTGGTAGGGAGTGCACCATACAGGGTAGGTGGTGCACCACCGTGGGCCGCTGCTGCTGCAGTGGCGTACTCTGATGGGACCCATATGCCTCCTAAGAACACTACCGGGGGTGGTGCGATGCCTGCAGCTTGTGGGCTGGGACATGGTCGTCTGGTATGCAGTCTGTATTTCTGTCATGGACACAAACATATATAAAGACATTAGTGTTTAATTGTTAAAAACAGTACATATTTGAAAAATATGCACAGTGCATTTTTGCAGAGCTGTAGTACACTGTACAGTACACAACTTTTCCAATGTGAAGATGGACAAAAGAGTGCTAGGCATGCATATCTGCATGGAGAGAGAGAGAGAGAGGGAGAGAGGGACCTGGAGATGGCTTTTCACTTCATCATTGGTCAAACCATCAACCTTCATCAGCTCTCTGATTTGCTTTGGTGTGGCCACTGAAATCATTACCCACAAAAAATAAGGCAACCCAAATAATAATAAGAGGGTTAATTACACTTTAGTATCTAAATTATTTAGTCTCAACACTTTTAATTGTATCAATTTTGTTCCTAAATTATTAAATGCATGCTAAACTAATCATCATGTTTGACAACAACCTTATCAACGGTCAAAATTAAGGATAAATTTGAAAAAAAAAAACTTACACTTCACCGAAAAGTTTAGTGTATAAATTTTGAATGGTGAAGTGTGATTTTTATTTTTAAATTTACCTTGATTCTAAGCGTTAATATAGACAACGTCAAAAATGAAAATAATTTTAGAACACGTTTAATATTTTGGAAATAAAATTGACAGAATGAGAAATCAAAATGACAAAGAGCAGTTATTTTAAGAACCAAAAGTATAATAATCCTAACAAAAATAATAGTTTAATCATCATCATTGTCATCATAGTTTTTTACTACCATCATAGGCTCATGAATGGTTATCTATACTAGTTACCGCTTTATTAAATCTTTTTGAGGACATGAATGCTAATTGTATTACCTTGAGAACCACCTAACACTTGAAGGGCATTCACAAACCGCCGGTGCAACTCTGGCGACCAGCACCTTCTTGCTTTCCTATGAGTTTGACTCGTAGTGGTGGTGGTGCCAGTACCGACAGTAGTAGTTTGCGTATCTGTCTGAACACTACCTCCTTGTACTTGCTCGATAACGCCTGTCCGGGGCTTACCCAAATTTTCTCTCCTCGAGCAAGTGATTCCATTATCAACCTCTGAACATTTCTTATCCTCCATCTCTTCGTCTACTGATGCAAGAGCCAAATCGGGGAGACTCCTTAATGTCGGGCTTGGGCACGAGTACTTTCTTTCTTTCGAGAATGGATGAAAGGCTCCTCCATTTCTTGGTTTGTTATCTAAAGCCAGCTTGGGAGGACTACCACCGAATCCAATTTCAGTTTCTTTAGGAGATGTTTTTGCGGATTGTGGCTTGGGTCCATCACTTGCTTGGCTCCATAGATCGAACATGTTTGCCTTCTCTGAGTATACAGAGCTTGAATGTTTTAGGGGTATGAATTCTTCAAGCACCGGTCGTGGTGGCCCTTGATTTGCCCGGTAGGTCTGTAGTTGCTGCCTTGAAGTCTCCATAGCTGACAGAGAAGTATATCATGAGAAACAATAAAAACTAGCATATCAAATTCATTTCTAATTTAAAATTATTTACAAAGATGTATTTGAGCTTAAATATTTTTACTAAATTCCGGGTTAAACTTTTGCTAGCTTTTCTGCTATAAAGAGACGTCTAGAATGATAATCTACTTTGAATGCTAAGAGAACAACTCAAAAAAACAAAGCTAAGCACATGAAAAGCGATATCTCAGTTCTATTACCGATAAAAAAGATAAAGAAAGAAGACTACAAGCAAGGTAATTTGAACAGAACATGAATATCCACTGTAGGTAGTAGTAAAATATGTATGATTTTTAATAACAATATTAGAATACATATCAGTCTCTATGATCCTATCATATATCAGCTGATATGAGTGAGCATATACAACAACAAAAGAAAATATTGCCTGCCTATATTTAAAACCCTAAAAATAGTTGCCTTTTGAATATCAAGTGTGATTCTATATGTATCTATAATATATATTAACAATAGAATCAAGACTTCGACTTGTAAATCTTGGGGACTAAATGCATAAAAAAAATAGAATCATATACTACAACAAAGTATACCATTTGTGAGGAGTTGCATGCAGAGGGGAAGCTCGCGCTTGAACGCGTCGATCTTGAGCCGTTCTTCTTCGAGCTGAGAGAGGAAATCCTCAAGGTTTTGGGTATGATCTGTGTGGTCTCCAAGAGATTTTAGCAGCATAGAATAGCTGTGGTGGTGAGGCTTGCAATCAAGGCTTAGTTCTGATGGAGAAGCCATCATTTATGTGTGTATGTATATATATATATTTTTATCTTGTATGACAGTGGCAAACGGAGCTGTTCAACAAACTCTCTAATCACAAATGTTCATGCTCATACACGAATAGGTTGGCTGGTTTGTGGGAACAAAGAAGATCAAGAAAAGAGGGTGGTGGTGGCCTATTTCTTTCTAGGTTGTAAGAGAGAGAGAGAGAGAGAGAGAGAGAGAAAGGGAAGGGATTTTGTGAGCACAAGGAGGATAGTATGCTTTTTAGGGGCGAGTTTGAGAGAGAATATATAGTGGAGGGGGGGGGGGGGGGGGGTGGGTTTTGTTGGAGAGAGAGATAAAAGGAAAAGGTAGGGATATAAAGAAGCGTGGTAACTTCTTTGCAAAGAAGAACAAAGGCAAAAGTTAAATATATGTGTGATGGAGTGTCCTAGGAGATTGGGTAATTATTTATTATGTGATATTATTTATGGTGTTTTAAATTAATAATGTAATAAAAAAAATTATAGATAAGACATGTGAACTCATTTTCACCAAGTATTTAGAGACAAACAATTAATTACTTTATGAATGTTATAGTTTTTCTTTTGAGAAATGTTAGGGATTATGAAAAAATTTTCATGAAAATGATCAAGAAAAATTTGTGATTCTTAGATTACCTTGATTAGTGTGTGACACTTTATTCTAAGTGTAATTCAAAAGTTACAAATATTTCATGATCATTTTCATGAAAGACTTTTCATGATACCTACTATTGCTGTTTTCTTTTATCAAAAATATTAATATACTGATACTCTGTTATTTAATAATTTTTCAAGAAAAGGAGTGATATATATATGGCCTGTTTTTACAACATTTGTGGGGCAGTTTTTGTACGAATTCAAATCACTGATACAAAGGATGATTCTTCTTTTTTCTCTTCTTAGGGTCCTTTTTTCCGTTTGATTTTCTCTCTTTGCGTGGTCATGATGAATACTACTGTATATAAGCATATACAAAATTATAGATGATGATACATCTATAATTTTATGTTTTAGTATAGGTTAATAAATAGTTCTCACTTTCATGGTAAGTAATAAAACCCTTAAGGGCAAGGGTGGAGGGAGCATGTGCTTAGGAGGCGCACTGTGTCTCCTCAATTTTTTAAAATTTATGTTTTAGGATAGGTTGATAAATAGTTTTTCACTTTCACCCTTTTAAATTTGAATATATACTTTTATTTTGTTTCTCTATTTTTAAGTAGTTCCTATAATTTGCACTACTCAAATATTTATTTTATGACAAAATCACTTTTATGATGTTGTAGAGTCTACCATTAAATGTTTATTTTTTATTCTTTTTTATAATGCTTACTAATTTATTTTTATTGGTATTTTTTTTTTCCTTTTGAGATGAATATATGTACAAATATATAATGATTAATTGTTGTTTAATGAAATCTTTTAATAAAATGCTTCTTTTTTTTTCTTTTTTTTTTTTGGGAGACGATCATCACAATTTAAGTCGATATAGTGATTAAAAATGGGGGTTAAGTTTGTTAGGATTGAAGTAAAGAAAGGTGAGAACAATATTGTGGGTGCCTCTATTTACATGTCATATTTGATCTCAAGGCACACCATTAATTAGTTATTTTTTATTATAATAATGACCTTATCTAAAATGACCAAAATGACTACAATTGAATACACACCTTAATTGAATACACATCCAAACCCTAACCCTAACTCTAACCCTAACCCTCATCAATCTTAACTCCAAATCCTTGTCATTGTCGTCGTTTCCATCACCAGCGCCGATGTCGAACTCTGAACCCTAACCTTAACCAGTGTTGACTACCCTTTTCTTTCGCTGCCACCCTCTCCCCAACTACTCTCCCCTTTCCTCCGTACCTTTATTCTTCACAGCCTCCTTTCCTTTGCGTCGCAGCCCTTTCGTCATCGACTCATCCTTTCGCTGTCGCCCTCCCCTTTTGTTCCAGAACCCTCTCCAGCTCCCCTCTTCTCGTCTTAAAACCCTAGTATCCACTGTCGCCGCTGCCGCCACTACCACCTCTTAGTCGCGATCTCTCTCTCTCTCTCACTCTCTCGTGATCTGTCTTTGTCTCTCTCTACGGTGGATGAAGGCTTGGGATGAGGGCAGAGATGGATCATGATGGCAAATCTGGTTCGACGGGGTTGATTGCGAAGGTGACGGTAAAGGCGAGGCTGTTAGCATTGGCGAAAGGAGAGTAAGGTTGTTCGCTATAGTGGAAGTCATTGGTGGTTGGAGAAGAAAGTTGCAGTGATAGTCGGAGGTTGGCGGTGGTGAGGGAGAATGACGGTAAAATGGTTCGCATTAATGGTGGTTGCCTGTTTTTTTGTTTTGAACGACAAAACAAAGAAGCTTCATTGATGTAAAATATAGTACAAAGTACAAGACAAAATACATCAACTAAGAAAGGAAAGTGCAGAAGCATCACAATGGACTAAATCATCCCAACTAGGTTGGCACAAAAAAGCCCATCCTATCATTTGCTAGCACCCCCAGAGTTGATGAGCCACCAACCAAAGAAAAAGAAAAAACAAAAGGACCTCAGACCATATCTGAGACCAGCACACCAGATATAGCAGAGAGCATAGTGACAGAAACAAGCCCAGAACAAATACAACAGATAGTATAGTGCAGAATCACCCCCCCAAACATTAGTGCAGCAGTCCAAACTCCAGAATCCATCACCCTTAGACACACTACCACCAGACCTGAGACCAATGCCATATAGAGCTTCAAAGTCAGCACTCCAGCACCAAACCATTGAGCAACCAACACCACCAGACCAGGGTAGATATAATAGATAGCATAGTGTAGATTCACCCCATCAAACATTAGTGCAGTAGAGCAACCTCCACAAGACCATTCCACATTAGAACAACAAGGTATAGGCAACATTTGGCAATCGAAGCAGCAGATAACAGTTCATAAACAGAGCAACAGCAGTAACAGTTCACTCCTACAACTAGTGTAACAACAGCACACATCGTCAAAAAATCCCATGAACATCTGCTCAGCCTCATCTCAGAAAATTGCAGTTGCACTCCCAACAATAGAACAACCTCCACAAGACCATTCCACATTAGAACAACAAGGTATAGGCAGCATTTGTCATTCGAAGCAGAGCAGTAACAGTTCACTCCCACAACTAGTATAGCAACCGCACACATCATTGCATTTGCACTCCCAGAACTATACCCATTGCAGTTGCACTCCCAACAATAGAACAAGCAAAGAAAGGAAAGAAGAACAAACACCAAACTGGACTAAATTGTAGTCTGCACAAACCAATCCTCACCCCTGAGATGTTATAAGCACAAATTGATAGGTAAGACTATAACAAACCTCGCCTCACCCCTGAAATGTTATAAAGGAAATCTGAAGTTGAGAAGTAGAGCTCCTTAGAAGCAGCTATAAGCCATAAAGCCAACCGAATGAGAATCAGTTCTTGCAGGTTCTGCAAATTTGAGGGAGACGCGTTAAAGAAATAATCATTCATGTGCTTCCAGATTGACCACATGTGACCAGGGGTATGGCACTCCAAATACGCTGTTCAGCTTTCCTACAGAAATACCCTGACCACTATTTCAGCAGCCTTTGGACAGAATCAGGAACAGCCCATGAAACACCTCACTATTGCAGCAGACCAGACCAGACCAGACTCTCCAAACAGATGGGCAGAGGATAAGAACATGCTCAATGGATTCCTGCGAGGATTTACAAAATACGCAGAGTGTAGAGACAGAACTATCCAAGACTCCAATCCGCTGCAGGAATACAGAGATTTTGATCTTGTGCTTCCATGCGAGCCATCCAAAGAATTGCACCTTAGGAGGAAGGTACTTAATCCACACCAGATGACTGAATCTTTCAGTGCCTCCAGAGTCATTGCTGGTTTGGTTGTAAAGGTTGGACACAAAAGATTGCCCGGGCTGCACTCTAAATTGCCCTGTACTAGGACTCCAGCTGAAAGGAAGGGGCTGGACTTGTAAAGCCATATAGCCTGAGCAGTTCATTCTTTTCCCAAACAAATAAAGACCTCCTAAATGTGAACAACCAGTTCTTAGCAGTGCCAGAGACTTCCACAAATTCCTTAAGTAGGCCTTCCTTTTGTGAAGATAAACTGAAGAGCCTAGGGAACTCCTCTTTCAGGCAAACATTTCCACACCATGAGTCATACCAGAATCTTATACGACAGCCATTGCCCACCTTTAACTGGAGGTTGCTAGCATAGTAAAGGGAAAGATGCTGATTTTGATCACCTGCTGCCACTATGCCATTCCAGATATAAGAGGATGAGGTGTTTAGACTTGGATTTGGAATCCATTTCCCACCAAGGAATAGATATTTGCTGCATAAAACCCTATACCAAAGTGACACAGGTTCAGAAGCAAATCTCCACCACCATTTTAGGAGTAGACACACATTCACGTCTCTGATTCTTCTAACACCCAAACCACCTTGCTTTATGCTCTTAGTAACCTCTGACCATTTCACTAAATGAATTTTGCGCTTCAGATTTGGCCCATCCCATTAGAAAGAGGCTTGAATTTTGTCTAACTCCTTGGCAATTCCCTCAGGTAGCTTAAATAATGATAAGTAGTACACATGTATACTTGATAACACTGTTTTTACCAATGTTAATCTACCTGCAAAAGATAGTAGCTTCCTTTTCCACCCGGCTAGCCTTAGTTTTACCTAATCAACTGTTGGTTTTCAAGTTTTCTTTCTTTTTGGGTTTGCACCCAAGGGTAGTCCTAGATACTTGATAGGTAAATTTTGAGACTTGCAGTTCAAGAGGCAAGCAAACTCAGCAAGGGCAGATCCGGAGATGCCAATCCCATAAATCACACTTTTGTGGAAGTTGATTTTAAGCCCTGAAACCACTTCAAAGCATCTAAGGATTCTTTTCAGATTTAGCACCTCTGATATCTCAACTTCACAGAATAAAAGGGAATCGTCTGCAAATTGAAGGTGGGACAATTGCACCTCATCATTGACCCCAACAGATACGTCTTTAAGCAATCTCAGGCTCATAGCTCTCTGAAGGAGAATATTTAATGCCTCAACAACCAAATTGAATAAGAATGGTGATAAGGGGTCACCTTGCCTTAGCCTTTTTTGGGGAGTAAACTCTTTTGTTGGAGATCCATTGACAAGGATTAAAATTCTAGCAATAGAGACACACTCCTGTATCCAAGAGATCCATTTTTCGCCAAAACAAAAGTTTGCT